CATCAGAGACAGCACGATCAGACTCAATACAGTTGTTCTAATAGGACCGGCACTTCTGTATTGAAATGTGGTCGGTTTACTCCAACTTAAGTTAGGAACAATCCGCAATGAGGGAGTACCATGGAACAAACTGCAGTAGTTTTCGTGGTTATTTCAATTTTGTGATGTTTTATCTTTCATTTATGTTTTTTAACGTTCATGTATGTTTTTACCCCTATTATCAGTGAGTACACTAAGTGCATTTATCCGATTGGGTGTTCACCCAGCCAGTATAATCAATCTTCTGTTTTATTTCTCATAGTTTGACAATGATGTATCACTGCAGATATCATGACTCACAAAACCAAAGAACCCCATCCCAATACTCCGTGGCTAACCACCAAGCCGGTCGCGACCTCACAACTTTTTTAATTCATGATGACCATTGCAACTGAACTATCTTCTTGCTACTCTGTCCGGGTCTGACAACCAGTGCTATTATTTGACACCCTTTAAGTTCATGTAGTCATATGCCTCTTTCAGTCACGGTGTAAACCGTTGAAAACAACGCCTTTTCATGTCTCAAATTGTTTTGAGTTTGCCATAAATTGTTTGCTTTTACGAGATCACTTTCAATGACATCTGGGAGGCTTTATCATTTTTCTTTCGGGTATCGGCAGTGTATCATTTCAACATTATTCTCTATTATTATCCATTAGCCACCTTGATTTGTTGAGGATTTTTGTTTTGAGTTGAAAAAAAGAGCTGTTTGGTGGCAGGTACTGAATGTTCGGATATACAATCGACCAAATAGGCCCGTCTAAGTATAGATGCATTGTATATATACTGTATATTATGTATATATACAATATATATAATATATATATATATTGTATATTCATTCACATGATTTCTGAATTCAGTGCAGTAGGTTTCGAGAAAAACATCGTAGTGGTATACCTAGTAAAGCATCACGACCAGTTGGCTTACAAGAGGGAAGTGATCGAACAAGCGATTCAACTACTTTCGATCGCTTCGGTAAACATTAGCACCAACTATTAGCTTTTGTCATCAATATACAATCACAGTTTAGGTGCACATTTCCAGCCATTTCAAGCCATTCAAAGGAATAAGCGTGATCTACTTTTCCGTTAGTGAGATTACTTTCGATAAACTGTATAACTTTCTGCTCGACTAACCTTTGTTCGATGGATGATTAATTAACTATCCCAAGAGTAGAGTGTAAGTAACAACAACAAATCCCCATTTGAAGCAAGGTTCATAGTCTCTTAATCCAATCACCCACCGAGGGACTCGATGAACATAAGGAGAAAAAAACAGACAAGTTATTACATCGTCTCCCGCAATAACGATCAGAGCGCAAATGATTTTTTTGGATTTCTACTGCTTTGTTGGACGCTTCCTCCGGATAAAATGATGACACTACAGGCAAATTCCTTAAACATTAGCTTGCCAAGAGCCAGGTAAATGACCGCGAGAAGTGATAAGTACCAAAATCTAGTGAGATGATTTCAATTCAGCAAAACCGTCCTAAGCGATCGGTAGAATATTTTGATGCATATTTCAGCTGACCACATCAAAATTAGAGTTACCAACTTCTGTATCGAGTGTACAACTTATAATATTGAATATCAGTCCTTGAATAGAGATTAATCTGGAAATAAGTTCTTTTAGGTGTAGAGCCTCATGTTTCGGATAGGTGGTCGCAATTCCCCTCTAAGGTTGGTGACTAAGCCTTAGTTTTAGCGTTGAAAAATCCCTGGGTTCAGTAGATAAAAGTTAACAGCTTCTGGGTGAATGATAAAATCCGGTCGTCTTACCGAGTTGGAAGAAAATGGTTAGATAATCTTGTGAAAAGCACAAAATTTAGTTCGAATAACACAATCTCATAGCTTTTCGTTAGCATTATGTTCCGTCGATTCTCTGTCGTGAGATAAATATTCTCATATAAGAATCAGGCTGATTTTGGATATAGTCCAGGCTGTGTGAACCACATTTTTACCCTCCTGCAAATTCTTGAACACGGGCAATCCTTCCTTAGGTCAGCCATTTCAATCTTCTTTGAACTAAAGGTGGCGGTTGACTGCACTGTCCTTTGACGCTATCTCTTCCTTCCCCCTCTACGAACAGCCGAAGCTGATTCCAACATAACGGCTCTTTCTCGCCGGAGTTCATCAGCACTGACATTGCTCTCCTTTTCTGTTTATCACCGTATTGTGTGTCCACCTGGAAACTACCTAGCCTCCGCATGAGGAGAGTGGTATCAATGTGCTCTCACTTAGAGCAGGCTTTCTGATCCGGAGGGCACATACGACTTCATGCAGTTGAATGAATATCCAAATAATTTGTGAGCTTTTCTGAATGTTTGGAGCAATATTTGGCTTACGTTTAGCATTTAAAGTGTTTTTATGTTTCCCGAGGACTATATTGTTTCAGCTAGCAACTTCACTCTAACTGGGGTAACAACCGAGAGAGTAGACAAATTGTGTTATTTGGGTGGCTGAGTCTCACCTGATGGATCAGTCTAAGATCCAGTGTTTTAAAGCGAGCAGTTACACAGTTTTTTCGTTCAAATCCTCTTACATATCACAGAATGTGCTGCGATTCTCGGACGAATTCTAGCCTCTTCCGCACAAGGCTAGGATGCGATTACTAATCAACTTAGATTGACGGACCTGAACACGGTGGAGGTTGCACGATCTGGTATGGCAACCGGACGAGCAATGTTGAGGTTAGGCGTGGAATGTTAGGTAATCGCAGTTGTCCACTGAAGCAAGTAGTCGATCTCCATAGATTACGTTGGTTTGGACATGCGTTGCGCATTTCACCTAAAAGGTTGCCACTGCGCGTGATGTTTGTCGAAGTAGGTAATAGGTGGAAAAAAGCCAGAGGTGGTCCAATTAAGACCTGGCATGAAGGTATGAAAAATTGAACCGGAAGACTCGGTATTAAAGGTTGCGTTTGGTTCCCTAGAACGGGAGCTAGGGATCACTGTAATCAATGTTTAAATGGACTGTGTGACATGGCTGCGTGTCGTAAACAGTGGCGGTCTTTCGTCTCATTTTCTTTGTAATCTTACTCCACTGGAATTCTCTATTTTCTCTTCTACTCTAGTTTTAACCTGCTAATCCTTCTTCTACCCCTTCATCCGAATGGGCAGCCAAAAGACAGCAAGCAAAACCGGCGCACGAAAGGCCAAAGTACTTCATTCATACGCACTGTGTGCTCGGATTCGGTGAGGTGTGAAACGATGGCGCCTGTAATAGTTTCCATTTACACCATTGTTCAGACAGGCCGGATGATTTTCCTGAACTTTGTTGATAGGGCGCCTGCTTGTGCGGTCGATATACTTTGCTCCACAGGAGCACGTAAACAAGTATCCACAAAATGAGTCTGAAGAAACAGAAATCTGGTCTTGGAGTTGTGAAAACATGATCGTTCTAGACCTGAGTGCGACACTTACTTTGGCCGCATGGAATGTATTCTCTGCCTCAGTTCTCAGCTCACGACTAACCAACTCCATGATTGTATCCCCTTTGACTTGGAAGGGGATGTGTACTGGCTTTGTTTCTATGTTTGAACCTCCTCTGAGCGATTATTTCGCAAAACGCTATCCACAAAACGTTCTGGATAACCGTTTTATAGGAAAGCATCATGAAAGAAAAGCAGTTCCGTATTTATAGTGTCAAGGACACATATTTTCACCACTTTATTTTCCAAACATAGAATCTGATTTCTTTTTGTTGGAAAATTCTTTCCCATTGCCTCAATAGAAAAACGAAAACGTTCGCAATCGCGTGGTACAAACGAAAATGCCCCCCTCCCCTCCAAAACGGATTGCTTTTCGGATACTCGAGCGCTGCATCTGTAAAACCTGGTCTGTATATACACGATATTGTTTTCAGGTCACTTGTTATCTCATGTTTCACACTGAATGCACTATTAAAAGCCATTTACGAAAATGAACCTTATTAAGGACGTACGACTTATGTATTGTCTAACCATAAAATCTTACTTTTGGCACTTTAAAATGAATAAGCTGCTCTGATTACAACTAGCATCTGGATGGTTCTGCAATTAAAAATCCTTGTCCAAAGCTGTCAAGTTTCACTATCCTTCAAAATTCAAGTTTAAAAGGTAAAAAGAGAAAATTAAGCTCATGGTTCATTTTTCTTAATCATTTCTAAGCTGAGTATTATTCAAAAAATGTCTCGCATATGTATCGCAAATGAATTATGGAAATTTTACTTTAATTATAAGATCATCTTCGTTTACTGATAGGTAGTTCAGACAGAGGGATGCTTGATGGACCATTCCTTCTCAAACTGTTTTCCTCTTTAGATAAGAATTCTATCAAGTACCAAGTACCGTCTGTTATGTGCTTCAGACTAAATCACTTGATAGGTGTCCGACCGTAACAGCTGATGTGCTCCTACGAACTGCTTCTGAGCACACGGGACAGGATTTGGAGGCAAATTGTAACCACCTACTCAGAGAAAAATAAGCCAGGCATCATCTTTTTAGACAGTTTCGTTTCTATTCTTTTAAAGCGGTAAAACTCTTCAGTCACATTCTTGATGTGACCAATATCCGTATGGCGCAAAACGACCTCCCTCGTGTTCATGAATGTTACGTGATATGCATCTGATAATGTATTTAAAATAACGAGAAAATCAGGGTACTGGTTAATGCTTTAATACTTTCATTTAATTCTGCGTTCTTCTGTTCGTCAATCAATGGTTACTTTGATCTGTATTCCAAGTATTCATGAACGTAGACGCAACGCTTTTGCTTCTACCTGAGAAGAACTGATTAGGTGACATAGTAACCCTATATCTCTAGTTAAGCATTTATTACACAAAACAGAAAGTCATCTTGTTTGTCTTTTTTCTCAAAATGATTTGTCCCAAAATTGTGTTGAATAATGAGTTTTCTTGTTCGTACGTTATCAGCGCTATTCAGAACAACCTTCTTCAAACCTTTTTTTCCTTTTCAGCAACATGTTTTTCCAAAAGTTCACATGCTCATCCCGTTTTATGCAGATTGCCATGCTATTGGTATGTCTACTGCTGCTATACTTTGGTCAGCGATGGTGGATCCAAACAAGTCAACGCTGTGTCGGACTTTCAGCTGCCCCGTTTATTGTTTTACCCAACAAGAATCCTCGAAATATACCTGAACTACCCAACTTATCCCTATTGAAGTGGCCAAAACCTTACGTGGCTTCTTATCCCGCCGGAAGCCAGGGTCCAAATGGTCGAACTCGACCCTTGCCCGGTCCATTAGAGCCGGTGATGAGTATGGGTCAACGTGCTCTGTTCAAAAAGCTTCTTCGATTATTCTCCGACATGATGTTTGCAAATGGAATGGGTGATGGTTTCTTTTTGGCCGGTGGAACTCTGGTAGGAACCTTCATGTTTCATGACTTAGTTCCTTGGGATGATGATATGGATGTTTTTGTGGATATTCGACTGCGAAGCAAAGTTCAATCGCTACTGAAAAGGTTACCGAAACCCTACAAATGGTATGCTCAAAAACAACGTGATAAGCTTTTCACAACATTGCTTCCCAAAGGAAAAAACCATCTGGATCTAGAACTCAGTCGACATTCTTCGCCTTATCCTTGGGGGTGGCCGTTTTTGGATATCTGTTATTTCCAGACAAATAGAACACATTTCTGGGAAGTGAATTTGAAAGAATTATGGAATCCTGTTTTCATACCACGTTCAGTCATATTTCCGACATATTTTCGTCCTTTGGGCGAGGAATGGTATCCTGCTCCAAGAGATACAGATCGATATCTGAGACTCTGGTATAGACGAAAAGCCGGTTGCTTTAATAACGGTTATTCTCACGTTTTGGAAGGGCGCTTCAAAAGCAAGGAATTGCCATGCCAAATGCTACTCCATCGATATGCTCAGGTGAAGAGAAAATTAATAAGAAGAGAAACCCAGGTTTACAACACGAACATGCAATTGAATTTCACAGTTACAGAAGAAAGTCTCATTATGTATTCTGATTTTGGCACAGTCTCTTTTCATGAATTATGCCTTCCGGTGATAAATGAACGAACAACAAAATAGATCTCTTTGATTTTTGCGCGCACTGAGAAAACTTTTCACCCAATCATTATTGGTCAAGTCTTTCCACATAGATTATTTTTTACAAAACTATTCAAACGGTCCAGTTTCTTGCAGTCTTTCCCAACACAGCCTTGAATCGTGAATTATCGAACGGTTATCGGATTATCACCCCACGACAATTATGCTAGAAGGTGGGTAATCGGTTTCTTGGTTGAATAACAAGTTTTGCAAATAACGACAGATAGAAGACCGATAACTCAATTTTTTCTTTGGGGCTCCATCGTCACTTTATTAGTCTGTGAATTAGTCTTAAATGTTTGTTTTCAAGCGGTTTAAGTCCTCGTCGCCAGTGTGCTTCGAACCTTAGAGTCAGCGGTTCAAATCACGACAAAATCACTCATCTTCGGAAGCCAGAAGCTTATCTATCATGCAGCTAATTACCGCGCCTAACCTGACACAACTTGGCGTGGTTTACCGCTACACGTCCCGTAAGCAAACAGCAAGTCCCCTGAATATGCGTTTACTCTCTTCGTTGTTCATCACAAAAATATGATTATATGTATATAAACAATCTTTACAGATACGGTGCCAAAATAACCATGGGTTGACGAAAAATATAGAAACGGAAGCGGAGAAAATAAAAACAGTTAACTTGGGGGTATATATCTGGTCTACCGGAAAGTTCTGTCCGTTTTTCGAATGAAATAACCAAAATTTTCATACCGTCAATAAACTTTATTAAATAATATAATTGCCATTATTACCAATGATTTCTTGCCAGAGTGAGGGCAGTTCGTACATCCTGTTTTTGAAAAATGTTTTATCTGTTAATGCGAAACATTGAACCAGTAATTGTTTGATGTCTTCCTCATGTTTGAATTTTTCGCCCTTCAAAACATTTTGTAAGGACAAAACAAATGATAATCGGAAGGTGCTAAGTTCGGGGTTACGGTGGATGCGACGGAGTTTCCTATCCCAGTTCTTCAATTTTTGGACGAGTCCCCAAAGCAGTATGTGGCCTTGGCAGTAGCATGATGCAGAATGATGCTCTTCCTACTGAACATCACTGGCCTCTTTCTTGAACTGCTGACTTTAAATTATGCAGTTGAACTGAAGAGACGTTAAGGGGTAAGCATGCGTCCAACTCAACGTCCAAAATTAAAAGAAACAAGCTTAAAACAAATGTAGGAGCACTTGGGAAAAATGTTCGAAAACATTAACACTTTTTATGGGTTTACACTACACAGTTCTTGATATTTCTCTTGTATCTTTGTTCTTTCCAGAACAAATACCTGGAAAACATCCTGTTCTGAATCATGTGTGTTAGCGTCTCTTGCGGTGGTGGCCGAGTGGTTGTCACCAAATTATGACCCGGAATTCCGGAGTTCGAACCGCCCCGCCACCACCCGTCTTCCTTATTTCTGTATTTCCCCAGGCAGCCTTTGCATGGCCCCAACCCCCTTTCTGAAAGTTGACTGTACATTTGTATATTCAATAAATAAAAAAAGAAGTAAAAAGACATTTTATTTATTTAATTTATCTCAGCTCATTTGCCCTGATCGGTAAATGGGAAACCGTCAAATATGCCGATATCGAAGTCATCGTCAAACTCCTATACTAAGTTGTAATCTGACTGGGAAATCGCTTTTTCCATACTTGTCTAGCGTGCACGAAAAGAATATCAAGAGGTAGAGCATTCTTTTCAGCACAGTGATGCACGAATACAAAAATGTGAAGAGTATCCTTTGCAGGCAGTTGTAGTGCAGGATGTTGTGAACCATGACGATATACATCCTTGCTTTAAAGTCGCACATTGTGACATGCTGGCGACAGCTACTCTATTCCTCGTCATTGTTGACATGACGCCCTATCGAATACCACCTCTGGCTGTTATTGAACTCCTGATAAATTTAGACTATCCGAATATTTTTGCTATTCACTACAACCGGTGAATACAGGCTGTTATCAGCCTTTTTTTTAATTAATTTGCATTTGGAGCACACAAAGCGCGCACTGTATCTCAATACCTTTCGGGACCGACTGGGTCAAAACAAATCGGACGGAGAATTGAGAATTGTCGATCAATAACGTGAAGTCAGCAGCATATTGGAAGTGTGACAAAAACGCACATCTTATCTGCTTCTCACAATTTACTCGAATGCTGATACACTAACTTTTCCCTACACTTGACATTTGTCCCCCGATTCATTAACTTCCCAATCAAATGATGCCTTTGTGTTGTTTGAGGATGAGCGTGCAGGAAGATACTGGGACATATTTTCCCATCGATTGGTATCCGGTGCATGTTGTTTTAAGTTAAGATAAGCACCCAAATAGCATAGAGCAATAAGCCACATGAATTGTTTACCATAGTGCATAGAGAACAAGGCTAGCAGTCTTTGGTACAGAAACATTCTAACAACGGAACCGCTGCGGCAGTGCATCCATAATATTTTCCGATAAATTTGTTATGAGATATTCTGAACTACTCGGATACATTTTTCCTCATTCGCGTTATCATTCGGATTGTGGGAATTAGCTTAATTCGGAAGTTGTCTGAAATCATACTAAAAATAATAATGCAAACCATTTGAGTAATTGCGATCATAAAGCGATTGTAAAGCCGAATAGCAATTCACTTCTCGAATCTCTGCAGACAACTGTTGAGTGTTCAAACTACGCAAGGATTTGGTATACAGTGAAAGGGAAGAAAATCGAAGTTGATTAGATCCAACAGGCTAATTTTATATCACTTCCATCACAAAGACATATGGAAAACACCCATTGTAAATGTAAATTGCCAGTTGATGAATTTATCGAAAAACCGCTTGTTTCACCTATCTGAAAAAACAAACTAATTTTACAAGAGCTCGTAGTAAGAACTTCACGACTGTTTGTTACACTCTCTGACCTTATATGTTTACGTCCCATTAGGGAGTATACCTTCGAAGTTACAACCAGGGAAGTAAGGGAGACCTAATTATTCCGAGTGAAAAGTGAAGAGTAAACACCTAAGGAAATTCTGAAATTAAATACGTGTTGTTTTGTTTTGTTGACGAAAAATAAACATACAAGGTTACTCTTCAATTGTTACTTATCAACCACTATAAGGTTCAAAAACGATACCGAAAAAAACTTTGTTAGTTTTATAATACAAAGAGTCAGAATGATAAAGCGCAAGAGTCAAAGTCAAGGTTTTACTAGGAGAAATACTCGCAGGGATTTCACACAACTGGATCAATTTACGGAACACAGAGTGATAAAGAATGTCACGAATTCTTATTATTGCATGCTACGGATATCGAGATTTAAGGTATGTCAATATTTCATGCAGTTTGTGCCTAAAGTAATTACTTGTGTGCACAGAAACAACGTGAGGTGTAAGGAAATTCCAAATTCTATACACTCGGAGGACAAATGACTTACTCCTGCTTTTTACATGATACACCAAAATCAATTCTTTTATAAAATAAATGTGCACTTTTCTGTAGTTGTTGTTGTTTCATTCTTTCGGAATTCTGTCTCCGAGGTAGTAAGCTAGATCGTTCAAGGCGAAAACAGCCAGTTTGGAAAAAACAAAAAGAGTTTTGCGTGGGCCTACATTAGGGATATTGTTGTCCGTTATTAAAACAAGTTCAAAGTTTTATTGTGATTATCTGTTTATCGAACGGGCTTAGAAAAATAGTGCGTGTATCTTAGACGAGTGCTGCGTTGGTCTGGTGTCATCATCGCTTGAGCATTTTCGATTCCGATTTTCCCATATGGTGCATCGCTCCACAACTGATTCTCCTCTCTACCAACATTTAATCAACATCGGATTCGGAACCTAACCTCCGCCTGTGCCGGCCCGAAAATCACACGACCGATCGGGTTTATTTATGGATCAGTTGGATGGTTCAGTCGCAACAACGGACCTGGCGCTTGACCAGCTAACCCGAGCGAGAAACCACACCTTGTTTACAGCCGTGAGTCCTAGGTAGGCCCAGGAAACTCCGACCGTGCAGTAGGCGTGCCATCAGCACACGGATGAGCTGGACGTGACGAGAAGGGTATTACAAAACGTACAAGCCGGTAATCAGATAGTCTCGTGTTGGGGTGAGGGATCCCAAGTGCCGCGGATCGCGGAATAGGATCCAATCAGATCACAGAAAGGGTCAGAGGGATTATATTTGTTTAAAGTCACGGGTGAGAGGGACGAGACGATGTGAAGCGATGGAGCAATCGCACTGTGCAAATCCAGAGACCATAGACTCCCGATACCGGTAAAACACCAGGTGCGACACTTGTTGGCATACTACGACGTCCCATTTTCATACTTTATTGAACGACGAGGCCGACACAGTATGAAAAGGTTACGTGAAAAACCGGTGTTGTTTGTCTCCGTCACCCTCTAGAACGTGCCAGTGATGATCACAAATGCACAGACCCGTCAACAAATGTCACGTTGCGTGTTTTGGTCAACCTTTTCAGACCGCAGAGGAACAAACACAAGTGCGAATGCGGTGGTGGTAGCAATGATAGCACTGGACAGCACAAATCAATCTGTAGAATGTTTGAACTTTGAAAGCTTAATCAGGACTTGTTGGAAAGACCGTTCATTATTTCTTTCGGACGATATCAAAATATTGACACGGCGAAAACAGATAAACAGTTTTACACGCGTAAGTATCTCCAAAGACTTCGATGTAGNNCGATGTAGGTTGTAAAACGAACCAGTGGAATGATGTAAGCGATTTATTTCCATGTGAGAACGGGGTCGAATGACCGTAAACTCAACAATGCAAGACGGGTTTTGGCACAAAAATTCCAATTCAATTGGGAGCGCACAATTAGATCGACCGTGCATGCGCTCGTGTCTCTTGTGGAGTGCCATAACTCGTTTATATTGGTCTGAATAGTCTTATGTATACGGTAATGAAAAAGGTCATGATTTATACCTGTACAAAGGACTTGCCTATTGCAGATTCGGCGAAATCCGATGACGGTGACGGTGACCTAAT